GCCAGGTGTTTCTCCAAGTCATGGGACGTAGAACTTCACCCATGCGTCAATCGTGCACCTGAAAGCCCTTCTCGCTGAGCTCAATGTGAGTGTTAATCGCGAAATAAGTAAGCCACTGCAACTTGGAATAGATGTGATAACGATTTTCATTGACAATACTCTTGCGAACCTGGATCGAAGCTTTCCTAGATATCGTAAACAGTATCACAATGCTAGTAGGCATCTATCAAAGTAAAAACAGATTTTTCACAGTGTGGCGCAAACCTCCACAAATTGGATGTTGCTGGGTTCAAAAGGTGGAAGATTATGACCACACTTTTCCACACCACCAACCGACCTCTCGGAAACTTCGGGCAACCTCAGACGATGACAGGAAATTAGATCGAAGTGATCAAAAGCTCACTGCAGATAGCGTCTTGGAAATACTAGGCAGACGCGACCTCGAATGATTCGCGAGATCATCCAATCATGCATCCCACAGATTTTCCCTGTGAGACTTACCATGGGGAATCGAAGTTAAGAATTGAAAACGCCATGATCAATAAAAATCGCGAATTCTGAAAAGTCCCAGTATGATGAGAAACGCCATGCATTTGCTAGCTCCATAAGGAAGGTGACCCTGATGGTTTACGTCATTGCGAATTTATGGCAGAAGAACGCTTCTTGGGGTCTTTCCTAGCTTGCACTGAGACCTGGAACTTGCATGCTCAGAGTGCAGCTCAGAGTGCAGCTCAGAGTGCAAAGTCTGCTATTTCATCCTAGTTCGTAACAGCACACCATCATCGTACTACTGCGGGACAGGCTTGGCGCTTACTTCCTAGAAGATGCGCAATATCAGCAGAAAACTCACGAATCCTTGCCAGTTTGGTGGTGAGATACTTAAAGGCATCCGCATTATCCCCCACCCTAGGATTCCTAGCCTCAGTCCTTTTTCGCGTGCACCGCTGTTGACCGTTACCGACCTTCAGTTGCGACGATGAAGCCCATCCTGGTCGCCTCGCTCGTAGCCTCCCTCGCCGCGGGACTCTCTGTCCAGAAGCGAGGCGCCATCTCGTATGAAGGTTACCAAGTTCTCCGCGTCAAGACTCTTAGCAAACTGGCCTCCGTCCAACAAAAGCTCTCGACAATCCCTCACGAGCAATGGAACCATGACATCGACACTCACATCGATATTGTGATCTCTCCTGACCAGGTCGCCAACGTTGAGGCTCAAGGTCTAGATTACCGCGTGCTTCATAAGGATCTCGGCGAGTCCATTACAGCAGAGTCTCAGCTCAGGGGTACATACAAGCGTGATGTCGACGATTTGTCATGGTATGACTCCTACCATCCGTATGCAGACCATATTCAGTACATCAAGAACCTCCACGAGTCTTTTCCCGACAACTCCGAGTTGATTACCGCCGGTCACTCTTATGAGAATCGGACCATCCAGGGTATTCACCTTTGGGGAGACGGCGGCCCTGGAAAGCCAGCTGTTCTTTATCAGTGAGTTGTATGCTGTCAGATTATGATAACACAGGCTCTAATTTCATTTCAGCGGGAATGTGCATGCCCGAGAATGGATTACGTCCAAGGTGAGTTGACCGCTGAATGTCCCAGAGCATCCGGCTAACCTGATCAAGGTGGTTGAGTACCTAACTCTCCAACTCATCAACACCCACAAGAACGCCACCAATGCCACGGACTCCTGGTTGAACACTTATGACTTCCACATCTTCCCCATCGTCAACCCCGACGGCTTTGCGTACTCCCAGGAAGTTGATCGTCTCTGGAGAAAGACCCGCACCCCGCCTCCCCCGCCGCCGCAGGACCAGTCCTGCTACGGCACAGACATCAACAGAAACTGGGAATACGGATGGGACGTAAACTCGCTTGGTGCTTCGACTAATGCCTGCGCACAAGCTTATCGAGGCCAGAGACATTCTGACACCATTGAGAACCAAGGTCTTGATGCCTACGTCCGCAAGCTCCGTGACGCGGCTGGAATCAAGCTGTTTATCGACTGGCACAGCTACGGCCAGTACATCCTTTCACCCTTCGGATCGAAGGAGGAGTGGTATGCTCCCGAGCTTGGGAAGTGGACCAAGGCAGCGTCAATCCTGAGCGAGGTCATCCGGGACAGCTCCGAGCGGCGCACGACCTTCACCTTTGGACCGAGTGGTGCTACGCTGTACACAACCACCGGAGCTGCTCCGGATCACGTCTACGCTATTGGTGGTGCTGACTTCTCGTACACCATTGAGCTTCCTGATACGGGGGACTATGGCTTTATTCTGCCACCTGAGCGTATCAGAGGTGCTGCTGAGGAGCAATGGGTCGGTCAGAGTGCCTTGTTTCCGCTTCTAGACGAGGTCTTCTTTGACGGTATCGGTCCTGCGTGAGCAAATGTCACGGTTACCGACAGTGACTGGAATCCGGGGCTGTTGAAAAGTCAGCCTGTCATGGTTTTCCTCTTCAATACACGTAGGGTTTTCATATTTGTCTCAGTATAATTAGAAATGTTCAAGAGACCGCCTATCCTATTCTGTAACAGCTATCTTTCCTATGGTGATATACTCTAACTCACTGTCGTCGTCGCTGCCATCCTCATCGTCGTTCTCATTGTCGTCGTCTTCGTTATTATCGCTGCCGCCGCTGTCATCATTGTTACTTCTACTAATACTTTTGAGAGGAAAGGTTATGTAACTAAGGCACACAAGAAATATAACCGCTCAGACACAGGAGAATCAGATGGGCCATGTATAGTGCAGAAGACTAGAACCTATCACACAATCGTTTCCTTACAAACTCGGAGCAACAGTCTCATACTTTACTGTGATATAAACTGCATTCAACTCCTTACCGTAGCCCATCTACTTAGCCTACAAAAAGGGCTTGACCTACCTTGTAAAGCTAATGAGCCTATGGGCATACAACAGCGTAGTGTCTCCATGCGACATTCTCCCGAGCGTATTCCACAGCTTCCATCACTTGATCTAGAGTAAACTCCTTCACAATAGTACCGCTTTCGACGCCAATCCTCAGCAATCCACAAGTCACCATGCCGAGCAACTGCTCCACGGTGTGACGGTTGCAAACCCACTTTCCAAGGATTTGCAGATCTCTGGTAACTGCCGAGATGTAGCTCAAACCTCCAAGTCTTGCTGTCGTTCCGCCGCTTAGGACAATGCGACCATTGAACTTTAGCGTGCGGGACGCAGCTGAGAGGTAGAACGCCCCGGTGTTGCCCTCGGGGGTCCAATCATTGTAGACCTCAGCTCCGGTTCCACCTGTTGTGGCTTGCATAATTGCCCCGTAGTCTGTCTCGTCGTCGCCCGTCATCACAACGTACTTCAGACGGCCTGGATCTCCACCGATTCTCTGCTTCATTGCCGCGAGCTTGCTCTCGCTCCGTCCGAGGGCAATGACGTTTCCACCCACGGCCAACGCAATTTCAACGGCTAGACCGCTGAACATACCAGACGATGGGCCAATGATGATGGTCTCGGCGGGCTTCAGCTTTGCGGCTTCAATAATAGCTCCAGCGGAGACAGCGTAGTTTGCGATAGACTGTAGCACCGCTGGGCTGTAGCCAAGCTCTCCACATAGGCGGTCTTCGTTGAGCAGAATACAGTTCTCCAGGGGAACTTTGGTGTACTGCTGGAATGCACCTTCCTTCCACTCTTCCCAGAGCCTATAGGCCCCGTCAATCGTGCCGCAGATGTGACCCTGCACAATCTTGGTGTTGGGATCGTCGCGGGCCTGTACCATAGGTTGGATGTAGACGAGATCGCCAGGCTGGAGGCGTACTGCGTCCGGACCCACGGCGTGAATACGTCCCACACATGGCGGATTCGGAATGACTGGGAGCTGCAAGTTGTGCTGTGGCAGCTTGCCATCTAAGATGAGGTGCATGTAGGACGTGAGGGATGTCGCGAGATTTCGCAAGATGACGGTACCCGCAGAAGCCTCGGGCACGGGGAGTTCGACCTTCATCAGAGGTGCGCCGAACGCAGTGAGCCTCATGGCAAAATTGGTCGGTGTAGGAGAGGCCATATTGGTCTGAGCTTCAAAGCTGGTGGCCGGGGAAGGAGAAAAGTAGTAGTAAGTGTTATATCTGTCTTGTGACTGCAGATACCAAGTATCCAACTGAGCTGAGGATTGAGTCTGTTATATTTATCATGCGTTGCGCCTTCACGACGACATCACCGTCGCGTCTTCGGTGTTCTTTCGCCCTTCGCGTTTGCGCTCCCCGAGAAGAGGAGGTTTGGGCTCGCTTTCGCATTTGAGTTGCCACACATTGTTATCCCCAAGTCTTGACTGTTCGCGCAACCCTGACAATGATAGATCAATTTCTGCTCTACTAATCCTACTATCGACATAGAGACTGGCGCCTTGGACGTCATACGCATCAATTGACTTCTGAGCGCCTGGTAAATGAGCTGAAATGACACAGGCAAAGATGAGAAAGTCTTCACATTATTCGCTTATTAGCCACCGTTGGCCTCAGGGTCACGGTTGGATGTGAGACTGAACTCATCCTCTACCAAGTTGGCACACTCATTGAAAGGCCGAGACATTTAACTCCCTCATCCTTGATACACATCAATGCCACTTCAGTCAAATCGCAACATGAAAGCGGCTGATATGCAAATGTACCGCTCAAAAAGAACTATTATCCACCTCCTCGTCGTCCGATCCGCGTCGCGGTTCGCATTGTGTGGGGTATTCGTCCGAAGCGGCGGACGGTATGGTGGAGAACTGTCAGCTGGTTGCGATAGTCTTCTTACAATGTCCAGTCGGGTTGACTCAGGCATCGGCAAGGTGGGCTAGAACAAGAAGAACGAAAGGCCCAAGCTTCGCCGCTTGAGAGTGACTCATGTGTAGATGTTGTATTGTTCAGGCTAATTTACAACTTTTTCTCTGCTTTGAATGGTTCCTCCCCATATTGGAGAAACGTGCCCATACTCATGTAAACCCCAGCTGGCAAGGGACGGCTAACCCCCAGCATCCGGTTTTCAAGCAGGATTCGGCCCAAGTGCACCTTTGAGACGTATCTCCCCCTTGTGTAAGAAACGAATGACAAAGGCAATGCCGATCAGAACGATTGAAAGGGCAACCATGCTTGGGTAGCCTTTGGGGTATGCAGGGGCCTCGACCTGTTGCCAAATCACCAATGGCAGCCATGCCTGAAAGACGTAGGCCATTTGATTCATGGCCCCGGTGACCAAAGCCCTTTCCTCGTTATCATCGCTGCAGATTTCGTGGGCCCAGGCGAATGTCAGGCCACTGATTCCTCCTCCAAACCCACACAAGATGAAGCATGCCCATTTGAGGCTGTTGGGCACATTCCAAATTGTTAAGGGAACGTAAGCGATAATTTTGACTAGCCCTGAAAAGACGATAGCTGGCCAGCGAGCTCCCCGAAACAGACTGTCTGAGGTCCATGCGTAGATCAATGGAGTGATAATGCTGACTACCTCGGTAATCGTGGGATAGATGTTGACTTCGCGAAGACTGTAACCCTCAGACTTCAGCCAGAAGGGAAATGCGGGTTGAGAGTTTCCTCCGTTGCCGTTATTGAAGACAATATAAAGAATGACCAGAGTCCAGATATGCCAACTGGAAAAGATCTTGACAAACTTTGCCTTCGTATAAGGCGCCCTCTGGGCGCGTCCTTCCAGTTGCATGCGCTTTTGAGCTAGGACGATTTCATCGGGAGTAAAGTACCAGGCTTTTGTGATTTCTGGTAAGTCAGGCAGGAAGAAGAATCCAGAAATGGCAATCGGAAGGGACACGATAGTGTTGGTGATGAACAGCCACTGCCAGCCGTGATAGCCATGCACGCCGTCAAGATTATGGGCAACAGCCATGAGATAGCCAGAAACCATTGACCCAACGTTTCCCATTGCATGAAACAAGCAACTACGCTTGGCCAATTCGTCTTTGCGGTACCAGGAGCCAATGATGTATTGCATCCCGGGATAAAAGGTGGATTCTGCAAGGCCAATGAAGAAGCGAAGGACGTAGATCTGAGTTGAAGTCTGGCATTTCGCAAGAAGGATAGTGAGAACCGACCAGGTAACCAATCAGTTGCTGTTTGAATGTGCAAATGGCTTTTAGTTTCCTACCTCGCAAATTGGAATCCAGATTCGAGGGCGAATCCGGGTGAGAAGCATGTTGTTAGGGAGGTTGTCATTACGGATGTTGAGTGACACAGCAAGAGGCAGACTCACCTCGGAATCTCACCAATCACGTATCCAACCGTCCAACAAACTTGCATATAGTTGAGCTCATTCCCATACAGGCTGAGATCTTCTTTCATGCCAGACACGAATGCATTGTTGATGTTGACCTGGATGTTTCAGTGACTGCTCATTTTCGCCGGGCGTGCCCTTATCAAGTACCTGATCCAAATACTTAATGAAGTAACCAAGTGATGTCAATGTCATCAATACCGCATCAAGCTTGAAGAGAAATCGACGTTCCTTTGGAGACTTGTCGAAGGTGTCCCACAAATAAGATTTCCATGTTCGTTTCGGTGCCTCTTGGAGGACCTCAGTGATAGCCGGCTCGACGATGCACTTGTCGTTGCTTTGAGAAGAAGCTGAAGTTTTGCCATCGGCATCGGCTGGGAGGACTTCCGCCATGGAACCAGGCATACCTAGAAGTAGTCAATGCCCTTAAGAAACCCCGTAAAATAGATGGAGTGGGTGTTAGTTTTCTGATTGTCTACACAAGGACAATTAGCGGACTTTCTCATGGCCGCAACCATATTCTCCACGATGTTATATCAAAAGCATTCTATTTGCCAAGATTAGGCACTCCACCTGGAGTACAACAAAAGGCTGCAGGATTCTGTCGTAATGGAGGGTTTGTAAGTCGTCAAACGTCTTGGAAGCAGATTCTGGCTGGAATGGGCAGCCGATGAAACCAAGAAATCGGGCGAGACCCGACGCAGACCGGCTGAAGTCCGACTAAGATGCCCAATCCTGAGGCAGAACACCATACTAAAGCTTTGCATTTACCTGGTAGTTTTCCAGCAATTTCACCCTGCGGAGATCCTCTCTTCATTATCCGTGAGATCTGATTTGCTGAAGTCGCAGGCCCATGCATGAGGATTCAAAGATCTAGGAAAGAACCCGAGAAGCGGTGGGCCGGTGGCGATATCTTGATGTTGAAGGAAGTGATTGGTTGTGGTGGTGTGGAGAAGGAGCTGCTCCGGACTCGCGCCTCCTTCATAAACCCTATAGATTAGCAGTCGAGGTTTCTCTATGCTAGGCCATCCGGGGCTCATATGTTTACCCATTATAGTCAAGCAGACGAAAGGACAATACTCGACTAGCTTATTACAGGTTGTAATTCCTGAAGTCACGGGTATACAGCGACGTATGGCCTTGGGCTGTATTGTCATCAGCTCACAGATTGCTGACGTACGAATGAAATATCCAAAAATGCTCGACTAATTTAGGGTTAGGGTTAGTAACACAAATACTGTGCATGATCACGCAATATAAAACCAGCCATTCAGGCAAATACCTCGTTCTTGGCTAAGAAAAGTCCATAGGGCAGAAATCGCTTCGGATGTCGGCGGCTGGTCTGGACAATGATAAAGGTTGGTCTTGGTGACTGCGAAAAGTCAAGACCCTGTCCTCTTGGCATTCATCACATCAATCGTTATCGTTCTCGCGTCATTGTGAACGGCTTACCGCCAAGGACAAGTTAAAGAACATGGTATCTCGTCAATCTTCGTTGATGAGGACAGTACATAACGTATTCTAAATGGCTCTTTTGAAGTGCCCCATTTCCCCAAGTTGGGGCAAAGGTGTATCGTGGGGTTTTGAGGGGTAATTAGAATGTCGCCATCTCAAGGATTACCCACGCCATCGCGGGGCGTAGAGCGGTCATCGGAGACAAGTTCACATGGACTGTTGGGTTTCGACGGATGCCGTTGCATATGTTGAGCAGGAGATCACTCAAATCGGAACTACTTTCTCATGAACGCATTTCATAACTCTTGATGCCGTCTTCTCACGGCCACTACAGCCCGTATGAGGTTTCTGGACCGCACCATTCACTGTCTCGATTGCCCAAGTTTCCGTCAGACCAATTGATAAACGAGGACATATCTTCTCCGGTCCACGCAGATGCCATGCGAGTTGGAGTGCCTTCGGAATTCTGGTCGTCCCCAAAGACACCATCCTCTGCGACAGTTGATTCCAAAGAGCCCTTCGGTTCCTCGCGCTCCACGGCATCCTGTTTCAGTGGGCTGTAGATCCCTAAAACAAGCTGGAAAATGGTACTCATGTCAAGTCTGAAATAACTTAAGCCTCGAAGCTCTTTCAGAGAGACTTATGAGAAGTGGCCAGTCAGCAATTGAAACTGAAGAACTTGGCAATCTCCACTCACAAAGGAAAAGTCTAGCAATGCCCCAATGTTGCGATGCCTGCGTCAGTTGTATCATGACTGAGTCTAATGCATCCAGCAAGGCTATTTTCTCCGTGGCATCAACCGGTCCAGATCTCATGAGTACAAGGGACAAGAACGACGCTGCTGTCCACAGGATGGGGATCAGAGTGATTGCATCACCTTCAAGAAATGCTTGAGAAGGCCAATTTCCATGTTGGTAAAGTGCGACAATGCGAAGAGCGTGGGATATGCTGTTGCTCCATCGGGTTTCATAGTTGTATGAGGCTTCGTTTTTGTTAAGCCACTTATCGCGCTCCATCGTTAATGGGCGCAGCGGCGGTATTGCAGATAGTAAGCCTGTTCTACTATCATCTTTTAGCATGACGAAAAGTCTTAATGTTGAACCTAAAAGGCCATATGATCATACTTACACATGTAACAGATGTAAAGCTTCAAGTCTCAGACGATGTCCCTCCACACTTTGATCAGCTGCGCAATATTCGGGAGACAGAAACTCAGGAGAGAGGCCTGATATCATGCAGTACCATTGCCTCTCGAGACGGTCAAGACGATCTTTGACGGCGATTGTGGGCCTAGCTTGCCTCAGTCTTATCAGAGAACTCATTTCCCGCGCTAATGCCGTCGCTGATAGCCTGACTAATTGCGCCTTAACTCCTGGTGTCTCTCCAGGTAGTGGGTTGTACCAGTTCTTTTCTCGATCGTCGTCTAACGATCTCGTCGCAGAGGGTGGGAAGTTGCCAATAGCGAGTTCCGACAGCCGGCAAGAGGGCAATAGGGTGCTCGAACTTCCATCTTCAATATTCGGAGGCACTGAAGACATCTGACTGGCGAAACTATCCATGGCCCACAGGGCCCACCGTAGACATCTCTTCTCCTCATCGTCTACGGTATAATCCGAATCATCTCTTCCAGACCCTGGGCGAGGATTGTCGACTTGATGTAGGTTACAAGTGTATGCCCACCTGACTGCCCTGGAATACTGATAAGAGGCCGATACAATGGGCAGATAAGTGTACTGGTAATGTGCCAAGAGGAAAGCAGTCTGAAACTCGGCCATGCCGATTCCTCTGTAGCTGCCTTCGAAATGGTCCAATTCACCAGAGGCTATTCGGTAGAATCTTTCTGCGAGACCGGGCAGGTCATTTTGCGCAAGACGCAAAACTCCTGGCACCTCTGTAAACCGACTCGAGAGCGAAAACATGGCGTATAACAAGTAGGGCGGAATATTTCCTTCCGCATATTGAGCATAGAATCGGGTCGGTGAGAAGATAGAGAGAGGCAGAGTAACATGTTCGAAATATGCAGAGATCCTGGCAAGAGTAGTCAGCGGCGCAGTGGCGAAAGTACCAAGGGACTCGTCTCACAACCAGTGCTCATTATCCGTCCAAAGAGTCCCATCCCCAATGTAACAAGGCAGTTTGGAATGAGGATTACAGGAAGATTGAAGTGTGTTCTTGTTCGGACTAAGAACCATTCTCTCGTCTGTCCAATTGATCCACTTGATAGCTCGGAGGACTGATTGAATACTGTTGGGAGACACCGGTTCATAGTACGTAATGGCGGGTGGGATACATGATGGCGCATCAGTTAAAGGAGCGAGACCTGCCGTCAACTCATACTCTGTGCTCGCTGGCTGAGATTGTTCCGAGACATCCGCGGGTAGGCCAGATGCCCTCGAAGCTTGAGGAAGCTTGGGAAACTCTTCTACTCGAGCTGGAGAACATAAGATCAGCGTCAGCCTCGAGACGTAGAATGGTTTTGGCCATAGGATGCACTACTTAGGCGTTATTCCAACTCCTTCGTGCCTTTAATGTGTTTTGATCCTTTAGCTGGACCTGGCTTCCTGCGGAGTGGAGAGTAGACGCATGATTGCCCCTGGACTATACAGAAGGTGCAAGACGGTCTTAGCTTGTCACCTTATATTCGATTGCTTAGCAGCTAGCACGGCCTATGCAACCGGGAAAAGAAGAACCAACATCTTGACTTCCGTCTTCGTTGGTTAGTTATTCGCATGCGAGCGAGGTATTTGAAGGAACAAAACTTACCTTCTACATGAATTACACGCCGGGCCGGATTCACTTTGGCCAAGCCTCAGTCGTGAGATATTCACGTTTGGATTCTCCATGTTAATGAGGATGTGATGATGCTGTCAGACGTAGTTGATGAAGATGAAAGGTCAGCTGAGTCACATGTTTCGGAACATATGGCTTCATGTAGAGACTAGTATGCTTTAAACTTTTCACTTGGATGGTGGAAATCGTCAAAGCGCAACTGTATGGACTATGCGGCAACCGAGTAGTGCGAGCGACTCGCACTATCTCGGAAACCTACCTAGCCTAATGGCATAAAGACAAGTTGTTGACAATATGTAATATCAGAAATTCTCTTTGCAAGCCGAGACGATGGTTTCAATTTGCCTCTTCCTCTTATTGGAATGTCTGCTCGTGCTTAGACGCCGTGAACGTTGAATAGTGCGTTTTTGCGAATTCAAAATCAAGACCCTATGGATGTTTCGCCAGATCATCATTCAAACGAAGAAGAATTTCTGCACGTCAAAGGCAGTCGTGATTAAGTTTCCAGAGAGGTTCTGCCGGACAATCACACCGCCCTCTATTGAACACCCTTAGCTATGGCTTATTACCTTGACGTGCAGTGTTAGACAGGTTGCTGCTCGAAGTGTGTCTCCGGTACCCCAACTTCATGCACTGCCACAGTGCGAGTGATATTAAAGTAATGCACAATCATCAAAATCGAGAAAATAATCTGTCAAAATAGCCAAAACATCTTAGCTCATTATCTACCTCTACACTATTCATTCAGCTAAACCGATATCTCATCGCAGATGGATTCCAGCAATGGAAAGAAGTTGATTCAACTGGATGAAGTTGCTGCAGCTCAGAGATTGCTCAATCAGGCTGGACTACTGCATCAAAAGACAGCTCCCATAACTCAAGCCATTCGTCGATTATTTGGCTCCAGGCAGCAAAAAGAACGCCCGCGAACCTTCAACGGCTATTTAGTCATCGGGTACAGTACTGTTGAGATTTTACCAATGGAGCTTCTCCTCTGCATTACGGATCATCTCACCGCAGCTGCACGAGCATCACTTGCATTGACGAGCACAGTGTTATACCACAAGCTAGGATCAAACTCCCTCGACATTACAGACGAGCGCTCATTGTTCGAACTCCTACTGCTATTGGAACGCGACGGCTTTCCAGTGAAGAAGGTCCCCTGTCATACTTGCCGCATATACCATATGCCTCAAGCTTCCCTCCCATCTTCAGGAAACGCCTGTGTCATTTGGACAATGGCAGAGCGTGTAGGGAAGTTTCAATCGATATATCTTCCAGAAAACATGCACTGGAATATGGTATATGCGATTATGCGATCGCATCGCCAGAGGACATACAGATATTCGCTGGATATGCTCGCCTCAAGCAAGGATTACCGAGTCGGCCATGCGCAAATCCGGTACACTACGAGGTGCCTCATCTGGGACGGCGAGCTCATTCTTCGAACAGTCATTGCCATGCTTCCATGTCACGGTGATAAGCAACAGCAGCGTGTGGCCGCACCAAACTTGAAACCCATTTTGCGGTCTATGAATAATTGCTGTGGCCACGTTCGCTGGACCGAAGAGTTCCCTCAGATTTGGCCGGAACAAAAACCACAACACTTGGAGCCCACTACGCACCGGATCGATCCTTGGAACGAGGAGAAGGATGGACCGGACAGAATACACATTCTCATCAGATCTAGGAAATGCCACCGCTGCTTTACAAGCTATGTCTATCAGTTAGACGACCTATCCGATGGCAGTGGTCGGGTAGTTTCTCTGGCATCTTACAAGATCCTGGGTAGAGGCGAGAGCGTAAGTGACCCAAAATGGAACACTCACTTATGGCATGCGTCCACAGAAAAGCAGCCAAGGCTGTGGCGTAAGACTTGCACGGTTCTCACGAGTTGGTGCCGAGCAAGGTGGAGAGCAGGAAGTTGTAGCAGGTGGGGACTGGAACTGGAACCGTGGTGCTTTGAGGGTCTCGCGCGCGGTTAAGCCAAGATTTTGTTCAATTTGATCTTGCTTATCTGTAGTAGCTTATACTCAGAAGGCTCTGTTCCAAGTTGACGTACTCGAAGAGAACCAATCAAGTTTGTCTCAACTAATAGAGTGGCTGAATTCTCCTATGCCTTCGATCATGCATCGCACAGTGTTTCCAGTTTTTAGAAATCTCCCGCGGCCAAGCCCGACGCCAGCTCCAGTTCCAGTCATGATCATGTCGCCAGGGTGTAAGGTTAGTTGATGAGAGAGCTCTGCAACTTGCTCGGCGACAGAGAAAAACATGTTCCCGGTATTAGTGTCTTGCATGAGTTCATCGTCAACCCAGAGTTTCATTCCTAGATCTTGTATGTTCGGGACCTGATTGGTCGGCACCATCCATGGGCCCATCGGACACGAGCCATCGAAGCACTTTTGACGAAACCAGTCAAATTTGAAGGCATCGCCGGATCGAAGTTCTTTTCGCTGAATGTTTTGTCGAAAAGAAAGATCGTTTCCGACGGTGAAACCTGCTACATATCTCATAGCTTCATCCCGGGAGACGTGACGTGCGACACGCCCAATGATCGCGACGAGTTCAAGTTCCCAGTCTACCATGAGGTCTGGTGAATCTATCTTCATCATAGATCCTGGTCCGCAAACTCCTGTGGTGTTCTTTAGAAAGAAGAAAGGTGGCTCTCCTCTTTCCTTCAAATTTGGACCTGGCTTGACGTCCAAACCGCGGCTCATTTCGTCGAGATGATCTGTGAAGTTGCCGCCCGCACAGAAAATTGTCGTCGGACTTGGAACTGGTGCCAACACCTCAACGTTTTCGATGAATTGAGATGAAACATTTGCCGCATTCGGATCAAGAGCAAAGTTCTCTAATCTTGAACTAATCTGATCCCAATTTCGGAGGGCATCAAGGGGGCTCACACACGTAGTAGAGACCACATCGCAGAGATCGTACACCATGCCATTCACGTGAATGGCGCCTCTGTGGCCTTTGGTTGTCTCGTAAGTGAGAAGTTGATATGAAATACCTTCCATGGTTGCGAAGCCGATCTGAGAAATTGTCATTTGAGTCGCTGCTTCTTGACCGAGTCCCCCGAGGCAGGGCGTCTGCTTCAAATAGTTCAGACGGTCACGGTCTTGCCCGGCATTACCGTCTCTAACAATTACCACATAGTTTACACTACTCCAATCATGAGCATTTGATTGGACCTGTGGGTGAGGCATGCATGAGACGAAAGATGGCGTCGGCCGGACTGCGGGAAACAGCGGTCCATTGCCCCACCCGAGTATTCAACGGAGAACATGTGATCATATTCCAAGCATACTGATCTCGGACTAATGAGTTTATATGTTCCACACGTTCAGTCTAGAGCCAAATTCCTAGACCGGATGTTTGTTTGTAATCAAGAGGTGTATTGCTGCACATCCGCCGATCTTGCTTAACTTCTCCAGCAGCACCATTAGACTGTGGGACAATTTTCTCTAATCGATATATCGGATGACGAAAGGTACTGTTTCCGCAAAATCCCAGTCTTCGCGCTTTCCGCGGTCGCCAAAAGCCCGGAGGCCACTGAAAACGATCTTGTAGGTTCCCTCAGGCACAGCCGTCCCGTCCGCTAGCTCTCCCGTAAACCCGAGCCTGTAGTTTCTCCTCACAACCCAAGGTTCTGGAAAGCCCGAAAGGAACCCAATGCTGTCGATGTCGAAGAATGCCGTTGTGGGAAGACCCGTCTCCGATATAGCCACCACATCGGCTCGAGCCATCTGCGTTCCAAAGAGCAAACTGGCTTGGATGCTCGGATATTCCACATTTCCCGGCGGCGTCGTGCCAGGGCGGGGTATTGTGAACGTGGTGTTTGGAGCGGTGGGATTGTTGAAGTAGCCGAGAAATGTTCCATACTCAGGGCCCTCCAGGAACACCGGGGTTTCTTTCATGCTGCCGGCAACACCGATATATGGGATGCTGTGCGTCTCGCCGTTATCGGCTTCGATCGTAATCAGACCGCTGTACACGGGCAATTGCGTCGCATTCACATTCCGCGGCGGAATCACTGTGACAGTCACTTCTGCCGACGAGCCTGCCGATATACTTATTGCCCTATGTCTCATGTCAGCTTTGTGGGATAGTTCTTGCAGCTGACGCCAACTTACTCTGATGAAAAAGAAAGCTTGGCCCAGTCATCGACGGTCGGATTCGGAAACTGAGAGGCGGATCGTGAGCCCGAGGCGAAGGTGTAGGCTGTAGCAGCTTTGGTGTGCCCAAGTTTGTATATCACTGCGTCCCCGCCTGTGTTACGGATACTGAAAGTATGCTGCGCGACGAAGTTTTCCGTGTCGTTGAACGAAATCTCGCTAACGCTTAGGATCGTCTTTGCATGAGCGGCATCGTATGCTTGGACTACGCCAGAACCTTGCTGGGGTACAGGCGCTAGTATGTCGTGGACGCTCGTTCCATCAAACCAAGGCCGGGTCCTGGAGGTCGATGAGATGACGTTCCGCAATTCGACAGGATCTGTTGTCCCTCTCGCTTGACCGACAAGTGCAAATACTGCAGCAATCAAAGGTGTTGACATGGAGGTTCCGGAAAGCACGGAATATTCTCCCATGACCATGGGCCAAGTTGAGAGGATGTTTCCACCTGGAGCAGTGAACTGGGGTTTGGATACCACCTCCCACGTAGGCCCCCAAGCTGTGGTCAGACTGGCGAGATCACCAGATACGTCATTGGTAACAGCCTCATACCGGATGTCTGCTGCAGCGGGGCCGACGATGTAAATGTTGATGTTCGAACCTTGGTTCAATAGGTTTATCCAAGTGGCGCCCTGAGCCGGAGTGACAGTCCCAACGCCGGTGATGCCATCTGAATAGGCGTAGATTGTTGCAATAGAGCTTTAAAAGTCAGCGATGTGCAGAAAAGAATGTTGGGTCGACCTACGAGTTGCTTTGACTATAAAACAATAGATACCTGCCTCCTTTGGCAGCGACGTTGGTGGCTTGTGTAGACGAGTAACATTTGGAGGTATCCGCTACCCGAAGAAGGACGATCTTTGACGAGAGATCAGGCGTGCTATCCGGCAAAGGACTGCAAGCATCGTTCGCGGAGTCAGATCTGTTGCTCACAGACCAAAGCGGCAAGGTGATGTTTTCCGCGAACTCCGGCCCACCGCTGATAAAACCAAACGGCTCTGAGATTCCTGTTGCGTTATCCACCGTATAGGAACCAGCAGTGAGCAAGAGAGGGGTGATGGTATTATCAACAGACCCAGCAGCTGTTACATTAACCCCGGTTGCTGGTGACGCCGACAGAAACATGCCAGATCTGCCAGAGTTGCCCGGGGCCACGATCACGGACACACCTTGTGCTGCAATTCGCGATGCAGCTATGCCCCAAGGATCGTTTGCCCATCCAGTGTACTGCCCCGCCGAGCAAGATATGATGTCGCTTCCGTCATCGAAAGCAGCATTAAAGGCGTCAAGCAGGATGTCATTTGTTGTCAGGCTGTTACATCCCCAAGCGCGGTAGGCTCCCATGGTGACGTCGGGAGCTGCTCCAGTGAAGCCCAACTCGTTGGCCTGAGCTGCAATAATACCAGCCACATGGGTTCCGTGGCCGACGCACCCGTCATACGGATCCGCATCAGGTTCAGGGCTATTCGGAGGAAAGTAGTTGTCGCCAGTGAGGTGCCATCCGTAACTGACGAGGCATCCTTCTCCGAAGCAGCCCCCAAGGGCTGGATGCGTGTAATCGACACCGCTGTCAACGATTCCGATACGAATCCCCCTGCCAGTATATCCTTCGGCTCTCAGCTTGTCAACCTGGGTCATGACGTGTGGCGTGTACGTATCGGGCTCCTCGGCCTGCCGCTTGTCTACTCCAACGAACTGCCCCGACATAGCCGTTCTGTTTTTCCCAACATAAAGTGGCTTCGCTGTCGGTATCGTGACCGTTCTAACAGGCCAAATTGACTTCACTTCGGGGCGTGCTGCGATCAGCCCTGAGATGTCATTGGATACATCATTTGATTCATTGACGATGCGGAAAGATGCGCCTTTGAACAGCTGGTAATTGAGATCCAGTCGATGCTCAACCTCCAGCCCAAGACTCTGATAGAAGCCGGGTGCATCCGCCACATCAGTATCCCATTCCACGACAAAAGCTCCCGGAATTACAGTCGCGGAGTTTTCGGAAGATTCGCAGCTTTGATCGGCGAGGGGGGCAGCGGGGTCGACGGCGGGGACTGTCGACACGAGCGAGAGCCCAACGGCCGCGGCTGGCAGCGACAAGATCTTGAACCTCATGGCGGCAGTACCTTGGAAGCAGATTCCAATGGGTGATCCATTTGAGAGAACGACATATCCTTGGGGCTTTATATACCACTAGATAGACATGCGAATCTTGTACTAGGTATTCATGTTGTCGGTCAGCAGGATGCAGGCTGGAGTTACGAGGAACGTTGCCAAGCTCGTATCGACTAGCTTGACGAGGACTTCCTTGAAATGCCCAGCGCCGTTACTGCGATCGATTCGTTGATGATAGGCAAAATATTGATTTACCTTCCTGTTTGGGGTGGTTTGTGGGTATTGATGTTACTCACCAAGCCAGCATCATGCAGCCGGGGTTGCATGGCGCCAGGAACGGACTGATGGGCTTCGTGATCGCAAACTCCAAATAATTAGAGACCACTCAGAGGGAACTGTTTAGCAATTTCAGCAAACTCTTTGTCATCACACTTAACTGAAGATCGCCGAAAGTATCCGCAGTATTCATTCGCTTTTATTGATCCCATCGTAGCCACAAAAGTTGAAACAAGACCCCAGCCGTCGTGCCACATCGTAAGAAATCATATGTACAAGCAAGTTGTATGGTGAGAACACGTAAGGAAATCGCAAGCTCTATGTAAAAGAAATCATCGCCCATGGAGAAAGGAAACGTCACCGTGGTCGCCCGTGAACATCATATCCCAGCTCAGGAATTGTAAACCGCGATGTACTCGGCTTGGAAGCTGGCACCAGACACAGTGGTAGCCAGGGGAGTAGTGCTGCCGTAATTGTTGTTGGGGAACTCGCCGCCGATGGCAAGGTTCATGAGAATGAAATGGGGCTCGTGAACAGCTTGGGTCCAGACGTCGGCAGGGAGGTCATCCGAAGTGACCTGCCAGAACAAAGTGTCGTCAACGAACCACCTAACAGCCTCAGGCGTAGCACTGCGGTCGACCTCGAGGGTGTACTTGTGGAAGTTACCCTGGCATGTGGTGCCGGGGCACTCCCGGTTTCCACCAAGACCATCCTTCTCCTTGCAGGGGCCGCCGGGGCTGGTGCCGCAGTGCATGACACCCCAGACTTTGTTGATGCCGTTGACGTTCTCGAGGATGTCGAACTCGCCGATGGAGGGCCAGTTTCTAGAATGTTTGTTAATCCACTCTGTCTTGAAATTGAAGAATTATCGAATACTTACTGGTAGTTTCCGCGGTAAGCGGCGCCCAGGGTCCAGAAGGCCGGCCAGTATCCAATGCCGTTGGTGCCGACAACGGGCAAGTTCAGACTGGCCTGAATTCTCATCTTGCCGCCAGCGGCGGCAACGAAGTTTGCGCGCTGGGTCTCGATACGAGCCGATGTCCAGGCACCGGCGGTATCTTTGATGGCGGTGATCGCAAGAGCGCCGTTTCCGTCAAGCTTGAGGTTGTTGACGTTGCTGGTGTAGGTCTGGATCTCACCCGTGCCCCAGTTGGCGGGGCCTCCGGGGTAGCTGGTGCCGTTGTCGATGATCCAGTTGGCAGTGTTCGGCAGGGAGTTGGCGGTTCCGACGAAGTCGTCAGACCAGGTGAGGGTGAAGCCAGCAATCTCTGGGACAGCAGCCTGGATGGCTGGGAGACCGACGGCAAGGGCCGTGAGAAACTTGTTGGAGACCATGACTGTGATGTGTAAGAAATGGTATGGGCGGGTTTTTAACCAGATAGACTTACTGAATGAGTGAATGAAGTCAAGTGAGTGAATAGTAAAGAGTGAATGAAGTTGGAATTGCTTGCTGTTGTGCTCTTTCTCAGGAACATTACCTGGAGGCTTTCATGTCTTATATACTTCATAAAAATGAGCCCATGGGGTGCAATCAGGGTGGTTCGTGAGCACGCGTTGTCGTCTTGGAGCTCACTCTTGCAATTTGGGACTGAGTTGGTGAATAACCCCTGAACAACCTAGCCATACTCATCGGTGTTCCCGCCGCGATGCCACGCTGGGCGCACCGCGGGCGGCCTTTCATCATGGGCGGCCGAGAAGCCTGCCCGCCGCAACCCCTTTCACGGTGTTGTCTCCTTGCTACCCCACACTCAAAAGCCGACGATGGCATATGACACGGGCCAGGAAACGGCCCTTCTCGATGTACCCGACACCCAATCGAGCAGAAGAGGCATTAAGAACTGCCTCTCTTTTGGCCATTGAAGGATTATGGACCATATCATTTCTCAAATATGGACGCGCTAGTCATCAGACGGGCGTTCGTCTGATCTTGACAGGTAGTGTGGTGGTACTGTGAGCGGCCCCTGATAAATCTTCACAGCGTTTCGGCAAGATTCCCCTGTCGACTTCACAGGGGCGATTAAAAAAACCACTCCCTTTTAGGGCTGAGCAGTGAATTATTCTAGGCCCTCGAGTCAAAAAGCGGAGAGGCCGATGACACCCTTCACCATATTTCAATCATTTACTGTCCAAAAAGACTCACGACGCTTGAGATTTCGAATTGAATCAATGCATCACCAAATATTCGCATGCGGAGGACTTTAAAGATTTAGAGTGAGGGGGCTTTTAACTGAGAAAAAGGGCAACATGTGGTTGGGTTGGAAATGTAACCCCAAGACGAGTCTGCCCCTTTTCTCTCGGGGAAGTCGGCAGCGAGGCGGCCGGACTCTCGGCCGTCAAGCATCACCTCCAATCGTTTGCTTTCACCGGAGGAGAGATGCTAGCACATGCTTCCGGCAGCAACTTCTTGGTTGACGCTAGGCACGCGATGGCTACAGAACTTGCGGGGAAGATGCCAACGGACGATACTGAGGAACACATTTTAAGCTTGTTTGGTGTACCTGACGATCGGTCAATCATCAGCTCCTCATCCCCCTCCTTTCAAGTGTCGGACGATGCTTCATGTTGACACCAAACCGGTCCATCTTCCGGATCAGGTGTCTTGGCCGTTCTTTTTCGGTGCTTCGCCGGCTTGATGTAAAGCGATTTTAGGCCATGGTGATGTCTGGCACCCTTGCGACTTTTACCGATGCTGACCTCCCCTGACTCACGCTGCCAAAATCACGCGGGCGGCATATGATGGCGAACGACTGGGAAATGAGCTAGGGCCAGCGCGGCATCCCCGCAGAAGCGATGGCCGGGTCTTACAGAGGGCGACCTTAAGGAGCCCCGCAACGGCCCGATTATCGGGCTTGGGGACATCGGGGTTGCAGACCGCTAAGAGGACGGAGTCCGGGGAAGCTGACGAAGTTCTGCGTGGGGCGGGAGGTAAGAGCCGAAGAACGGTGGTCTGGGGAAACTGGGGCTGCATTCCATCCTCCACGCGATACTATGATGGCCAAGTGATGTAGTACACAACGTGGGTTAGACGTGAGAGCCAAGGAGGACGTCCATCTAGTCTGGCAGGATTTCTGCATCAGCAGCATGTCGGCTGATCACCATTCTGCTCACGTCCGTAATGAAGCCGAAGGAAAAGCAGGTTTGAACCTCAGGGTCGACATTCCGCGTCGGTACGTTCACAATTGATAACTGGCATGTGCCGTATGCCACTTCCTCAACTCGTCGCCTTAGTAACAAGTCTTGAAAAGGCTATTTCTTCCATGTGCATGGAAGACAGGGAGCAATGTTTGTGACATATGCGTCCCAGTGAGTTGTTGGAAAAGTAGGTTCTAATTCCGTCGTCAACAAATGAATCAGATGACAAGGTCGTTATTGCTGTGCGTGCAGTGGCTTCGGTTCGTTCCGTGGATGGCGTGCATTAGGATGTGGCTCGCTCCTCGAAATGGCAACAGTGTTGAGGATCCGATCGTCGTGGCGTCTGTTGAAGAAAGGTCTAGAAGCCTCTGATATGCGTTAGGAGCGCTGGACACGAACACTACAAATCGCCCCCTTCAAGCTCCACTGAGAACCAAGACAGCCTATTTTTCCTGTGTCTGCGCGGAGATCCTGTGCACTTAATTACTCCTGTCCGAGACGTCAATTGAAGCAAGACGGTAATTGAAGCGATGATGACAAGAGGAGCGATGAGGACGATAGAAGCACAACGATAAGGTAGAATAGTCACAGGAAAAGTAGTCGGCAAAACGCAGGACAAATAGGGGGTCTCCGAGAAACGGCCCGCCGTTGTCTTTTCAGACTGCTGACAGTCAGCCGGCATTCGAGCGGCACGGAAACGGGATCCTGCGGCAAGACATCCGGGGCGTAATCCGCCGGTTGACTTGTGCGAGACAGAAGTCGGCCGGGCTGGGCCCGAGGCCCGAACCCCCGCCCGAATCCCGTCTTTACGTAAGGGATCGGCCACACCACTTTGTAGCCAGCCGCGCCCGGCGCTCGAGCTAGATTAATCAAGCCACTTCACGCAACTTGGCTCCGATGATCCGCTTCTTCGGCATGGAGCGGACAGTGCATTCTGGAATTTGCGGGAGTCTCTTTCAATTTAATCCATCGAAATTTCACAGTCCACTTTCATGAGTCGGTCCATCCACCTAAGTCCGAGCAGTGCGGAGTTTCTACTTGCCCCAAGCTCCCCCGTCATTTTCAAGTCCGCTGCGCTGCTCCGCTGGGTTGAATCGGCGGGACTATTCCTCCGCACCACTCAGTCTAACTGACTTGAAGCTGGCGTCATTCGTGATTAGCGATACCTCGGCACAAGTTTCACAAAGCACAGTTCACGGGCAGTCTTCTCCGTCGGGTTGTGGAGCCTCCCGTTTCGCCGTGCCATGATGCGATAATGTTTTGTCTTTGTAATCCGACTTTCCACCCCGTTTCTACTGGGATCGAGTCCCCTTTTGTGGGCCGAGGCCGTGCCATGGTGACAATCAAGTGAAGATAGATAAAGAGAATTTTTTCAGTTGAGCACATTGTAACAGCCAGCACTTCATTAAGCATCAAATAACAGCGTTTCGTTCTCGAGATAGAAGACAGAGGTTCTTTTCCGAGTTTCAATTGCGATCTTGCCCGACAGAACTCAGAGAAACACAACCTAGCAGTCAACATGTCAAACACCGCTATCGCGAAGCCATTGACGCTAAAATGCGGCCTCACTCTGCCGAACCGCCTCTCGAAGG